TAGTTGATATTCAAAGGAGTGACCTGAAGCACTGCAAATTTTGGTTTAAACCATATTTTACCTGTTAAGGCAGAAAGTAGAATTAATTAGAAAGGATACCAACTACATAAGTTGAGACAAAAAATGTTTTGGTGAAATTCTCACTTACTTAGAAAATTAAGTGTCATGGAACTATAAGCCCCAATAAGCCATGGACTGGGCCTCTTTACTTTACCAGAGTAAATCTAGCACCTAAGACCATAATAGGTGCTCAGTAAATACTTGCTCTGTGAATGAAAAATAAAGTCAATCTAAACACAGTATCTGATCAAGAAAGGTTTTAGTACTTTAGGTAGTCACTCTTCATCATACATGTGATAGAACCTGTTTTTAAATCATTTTATAGTTTGTAACCTTAAATACATCAGAATAGGAGAGGATAATAAAAATAAATAGAATAAACATAATATGCATTTAATGACACAAGTGGTTGATATCATAAATTTTAATAGTAAATATGAGCTGCTGTGAGCTAGGCTGACGCCACGGCACTCACTCTAGCCTGGGCAACAAAGCGAGACTGTCTCAAAAAAAAAAAAGTAAATATGAGCATAACACATGTCCTTGTACATGAAATACTGGCAAAATGATAATGCATAGATGGAAATATGTTTTACTTTGGGGAATGTTTAAAAGGTTTTTCTAACGGGGATGCACATAGGACTAAAAATAATAATGCTTTCTATTGCCAGAATACTTGACAGTTTACAAAACGCTTGAACATATGTGATCACATTTGATCCTCATAAGAAGATAGAGGAACGTACATTAAAGGAAATTATATTCATCGTTCTTTTATAAGAAAATATCTAGTAGCTTATGAAATATAACAGCTTTCAAAAAGATTTCTGGTCTATCATTAACAGTAACAATTCAACTGACAGCATAGAAAGAGATAGGAAAGACACTCTACCATAAGGAAGAATTCAAAGGAGGAATCTATGATGGCAACTTTCATTTGCTGTGATAAAGACAGACCTATCATTCAACCCGGGGCCATTACAGAACGCACTCCTAAAAGATAAGTGATGACACACCGGAAGTGAGTAATGAGACCTGAGCTCTGGAAGTCTAGTTTCAGCTCACTCAAGAGGAATTATTACCATACTTGCCATTTATATCGCGCAGTATTGATTGTAGTAGTGCACTTCGAAGTAGCTGTGACTCTGGGAACCAGAGCAGACATTGGGAAGGATTCAAGATGCAAGCAGAGTGGGGCAAGCACACCATGTACTCTCAGGCCAACGCAGTGGCTCCGTGGAACACCATGCTCCTCGCCGGGTTTTCTCGCTTTCCAAGAACATCGTCACCGTGTATCTTGCTGGACAGTTTGATAACTTACCTTGGAAATCTACATAATATTTCTATTTAAACAGGAAAATCCATCTTTTAAAGAAGGTGATATATTTTTAAGTATTTTATTGTTTTCCTTCCCACAAAAATAATTAATGTCTCTTGTTCAAAATTTTCCAAACATTATGGAAATATGTAAAAAATGTTGCTTTGGTCAGCATTCTACCTATTAATGCAGAAAGGAGAAGAAATACAGATAGAAAATTCACCTTCTCCCCTCCCTCAAGGCAACCTCTGTGCATAATTCAGTGTAAAGCCCATCACATCCTCTCTGCTATGCACACACTTAGGCAATAACTTTTAAAGATCTCTGCACTATATTTTTTGACAACTATCTCTATCAAGCAGCAGTGAGAATGATTTGACTAATATATGACCCTTGTCAGATTTTAAAAATAATTCAGCCTCATATTTTAAACATGGAGAAATTGATGCTCCAAAGAAATGTTTTAAAAATTAATGAGAGAAAAGACCCATCAGTATTTGAAACTGGCTAAAGCTAAGGCTATCCACATTCTAGGGATTGTAATGCTAACAGGTTTCTAGCTGTCAAAATTTGAATCTACAACAGCCAAAAAGTTGGAAATAAGAATGTGGTCAGATGTGTCGCTGGTATGGACTTTCAGCTGACTCAAACCAACACCAAAATAGCAACAGTGTCTGTCTCTGATAAACTTGCTTTCCCAGCAGCCTTCTTTGCTTGTGAGAGATTTCTATTGCATTTTCCTAAAAGGATATCATGCTTCCATTGACATGACAGTCCTGCTGGCATTATATGAAGCACTGAAGCTCTGCAACTTTCTAATCTCTGGTTTCCACTCTTGGAGATGCTCTGTCTTGCTGTTTTAGAACTAAAATCTCTGTCTTGCAAAGAAACTGTGCTCTATACATTTGCACATCACCTGTTTGGAGCTTGTACCATGCCTTCTCACAGAAACAAGTCTAGGTGGGATTTTGGCATTTTTAGGGCAGGCCAGTCAATGAGATTGAACCCAAAGTATAGTACCTAACTGTGTGCACTGTAGAAATAAGAGAGTTGGGATAAGATTGTCTTTAAAGACTGTTTTCTTCCAGCGTTCCAACTTGGGATGCTTAGAATGTGCCCCTAATCTCAAGGCCAGGGACTCCCCGTTCTCATGCCTCACAGGCTCCCAAGGCTCTGGAAAGACCACCTCTAGGACCTAGCACAGGGCAAGCCACAGGGCAGATGTCTGGGGCTAGTAAGGGATCGGGTTTCGATACCACCCACAAACACCTTGTCTAAGGAGCTCTCCGTCCCCTCTTCTTGGCATGTATCCCACAAGGATCATCAAAAGGCAAGTTGCTCACCTAAGGCTAAAGAGTAACCACTGGTTTGCTTCAATTGCCTTTTCAGACTTAACGTATATGGGGAAAATGAGGTTCCAAGTAGAAAAAAAAGGAAAACTGTCTTTTACTTTGGGGAATCAGAATGCAGGTAGAGGTTTGTGAGCTGCATCACCCAGGATACAAGCAGACAGGAGTCCAACGGGGTTGCCAGTTACTCGGGAAATGGAGACAGGCTCTGGAGTACAGGAGTCTGCAATTTCCCTAGGTTTAAAGATTAGCTGCTTCTTACAGTGAATAGTAATATAATCCTTGTAAAGTTTTGGTACGTTTTTGGAGGGGGACAGCAAGGGAGAGAATGGAGGAGCCTGTAATTTTTCCCCCTTAGCTGTCTTGGGATAACAGATTTCCAAGTGTTCAAGTGGATGGTGTGGATTTTAAGAGGTATAATCTGTAAGAGTAAACCACAGAGTAGACAGTCTCAAAATGGACCCAGTGACATCAGCATCACTTGGGAACTTAGATATACAAGTTCTCAGGCCCTACTAAATCAAAGACTCTGGAAATGGGCCCAGCAATATGTGTTCAATGAGCCCTTCCAGGGGATTCCAATCATCAAGTTCACACTTGAAGACCACTCACACAGTGGATAAGGAAGGATCTGCTTTAAAACCCTGGCTCTGTCACTGGATATCTGTGTGAGCTTATATGCCAGACACATAGCAAGTTGGTCTTTCTGGGTTTATGGAGAGGATTAAATGAGATAATGTATTTGGAGCACTTAGTGCAATGCCAGACATATAGAAAGCACTCAATAAATGTTAGCAGCTATGTTCACCATTATGTATGAGGGAAAGGAAAAAGGATAAGTCCTTAAGACCTTCAACAAGTTAGCATGGCATTTGTCAGCTTAAAGGGGCCTTTCAGATACTGATATTGTGCTTTCAAGGAATCCAAAGGTTGCATACATTCTGTGTGATCTCATCTGCATAGAAATTTGAAAAGAGCAGTAATTCTCAATGTTGCTTGGTCATCAGAACCCCCGTGGAACTTTTAAACTCTGCCCTGCCTTGGATGTCCAGACACATAATCTCTAGTGGTAGACGCTGGGCATCTGTAATTTTCAAGATCTTCATAGGCACTGCTACAAAACAGCTGCTGGAATCAAAGGTGATACTAAAGCTTACATTTATTGAGTATGTATTTGTACTAGGCACTATGCTAACTTCTTTATATACATTGCTTTATTTAATTTCCACAGCAATCCTGTGGGGTGGATACTATCAGTTTATTTTACAGATGAGGATACTGAGGTATAGAGGGGCTAAATAACCCCCAAGTTCACACAGGTGAGAAGTGGTTTAGGACCTGAACCCAGGTTTGAGCTACTAACTGCATTTAACTGATGCAAATCCTGATTCATTCATTTACTCATTCATCCAACATACATTTATTGTGCATGACTAGGTAATACCTGAAAGCTGGGGAATATAAAAGGGAATATAGATTCCCACCCCCATCCTCAAGAAGCTCATGGCCTAGAGTGATGGGTCTGGTATAGGGGAGGGAGCTAACTAGCTAGAGTGCCTCATTTTAAAAGATGATGTCATGCATTTCTGTTTGAGAGGCTGAAAAGATTTTCTATGACGGCTAGCCTTCTCTTAATGGCCATTTACAGAATCCATCCCCGTGAGCCAAGCAGCCTCCCAGACTGAAGACCAGGCCTGCTGGCTGCCAACGTCTCCAGCAGCTCCGCAAGCCCTTGGCATGGGTCTCTGCACTCCTGGCTGGATTGTACCATTCATTCAGGCATCTTGATAGCCACCTACTCCCCACCGTAGGGCCAAAAATCTGGAGGGTAAGGAGGCCCCTCACCACAGAGCTGGGAGGCTGGGATAAAGCCTGTCACTTACACCTAAAGTGACAACAGTTATGAAATTTCCCAGAAAAGTACAGAGAAAATACTGAGGCCTGCTTTTGAAAATCGTGGAACGTTAGCGATGTCCCAATCTTTGGACATAGCAGTAAGGCCGACCTGGAAACTGAGCTCCAGGGCCTCCCACCAGGCTGGCACTGGGCTCCTGGAGCAATCTGCAACCCCTCGCTGCCTCCTAGAGTCAGGGCCGAGCTGTCTCTCAAATAGACAAATATTACAGTCCAGCACTGATCAACTTGGAGAAGGCAAATGACCCTCCCTGGGAGGCAGCCTTGGAGGACACCGCCTCCGGCACTGGGCTGGGGACAGTGCTTGCAACCACATCTTTCCCTTTCCGCGGTGACGGAGGAAGGTTTGGGGACAGCGGCCGTACCCGGAACACGTCTTCAGGTTGCACAGAAGGAGTGACAGCGGAACCTTTCTTCTCCGCCTGGCTCTTGCTTCCACACGGTCCCAGTTGGCGCCGGACCCAGGAGTGGAGACTTAAACATGGATACAGCGGGCGCTGGGACTGGGGAGTCCTCTTCTCAGCTGGAGGCTCCAGGGTCCACCGACGATCGGCTTTTCCTGGTTAAAGGTGCGGTGTGAGGAGGTGCGGGTGTCAGGGCGCGCTCACCTGGGCCTTGGCCTGTGCCGCAGCGGGCATTCTCACACACATACCTCTCTGAGCCCTGAGCTTGGGCATGCCCCTGAGTTTAGCCGGTGAGGCCAGGCAGCCCAGGACCATAAGTTGCTTGCAGGGTGGGGTCTCCCCACATCCACCCCGGGCGAGAGGCAGATCCCCCGAGCTATTCTCTGGTGCATGTCATATTTCCCCATCACCTCTGCAGTCTTTCTAGAGCCCTGCCTTTTCTAATTGCTACTATCTCTATTTTCCTGCTCGGGAGAAACTTCACGCCGCTGTCCCGGGGGAGAGAGAAAGGGAACCTGCTCCCCCTCTCTGCACTTGGGGGACGATACCTCAGAATGACCCCAGAAACCAGAGGTCGTGAGTTCACGCAGGTTTCACAGTCGCTGTCATTTACCGTTGACAAGAGCTTCTTAGCTATGGTTTTTTCACTTTCAAAAGTGATTTTGACTGTAATTTGAATAGTATCTGAAACTTACCTGTGCACATCTTTTTAACTTCAGGTTTTGTATTCTTTTTTTTTTTTTTAATCCCTCCCCAACCTCTTGACAGGTGGAATTTTCCTAGGTACTGTTGCTGCAGCGGGAATGCTGGCTGGCTTTGTCACAACATTATCACTGGCTAAAAAGAAAAGCCCTGAATGGTTCAATAAGGTTTGTGACACTGAAATCCATTCATACTATTGTTATTGTTTACAATAAATGTCAGCTTTGTCCATAGGGAAAGTAAATGTTGATGGCCTTTCACGTTGCTGTAAGAAGTAAACTTATATATACCTTATGGATTCAAGAATTGTACACATTAATTGATAGCTTTTATTTTCATTTAAAAAGAAGTACTTCATTATATACTTTCTAAAATTTTGGCAGAACAAGTCTTTGAAAGTTTATCCAGTACATTTCTTATTCACAACACTTTAAATCTGAATCTAGGTAATTCACTATCAGTTGTAGGAGCCCCTGACATTTTATGTACCATTTAGAAAGAAAAAGGATGGCAGTTAAAATCTTGACACAATACTGATTGCAAGACACATCTCTATTTCAAAGATGTTGAAATAAAATGCATCTTAGTACTGATGAAAAACATGTCAGTTTCTTGAACACAGGGACTATATATATATACTTGTTCACTGCTACAGCCCCACCCCCTAGAAAAGTGCTTGACTCACAGTAGGTACCCAGCAAATTTTGGTTGACTGACTATAACCTACTTACTGCAGAAAATCCTTACTCTATGAGCAACCTTGAGCAGTTGTCCGCTGGTGTTGTGTATCTAATTTCCCTAGTTGATGAGAAACTTTCTACATGTCACTTGTATTGTCCTGCCTCTTCCCTCCCACCCCATTTTGCTTATTTATTCATTACATTGCTTCAACAAATGTTTACTTCAGATCTTTTATATGTTGGACATTGTACTAGCTAGGTTCAAGGGATAAGAAAATGACCAACACATCTGCCCTTCAGGAAGCTTAGCATCTGGCGTGGGAGACAAATATTCACACAAATAACTATGTAATTATAATTTGATGTGTGCTGTGGAGGAAAGGTGTTGTGTGAAAAACATAAGCCAGTTGAATTTCCACTTATATTTATCTTTAATAATCGTAATTAAGCCTTATTAATACTGTAATGGCAAGACTTAAAGTGCATTTGGGTCTCTGAATACTCTCAGGGCTTATGTGGAGTCGCCCAAATCACTGCTGGGGACCTTGTGGATCATTTCTCCCTATATTCCAGAATGTTTTCAGAGCAGAAATATAATATCTTATGATAGAAATCAGTAAAAACCTGACAGATAGTAGTGCTTTAAAAGTGTGGAGTTTGGTTGATTTGTAAGCTGTGGTTATCATGTTAACTCTTGGGTTATGAGTCTTTTTAAGAATCTGATGAAAACTAGGGATTCTCTCAGAAAAAAAATACATATAGATATTCACAACTTTGCATTCTATTTTGTTGTTCTGAGATTTGACCATCACATATGCCCTTCATGGTTTAACACAGTGGTTTTCAAACTGGTCCACAGAACCCTGATGATCCTTGATCCTTGGGTCTGTAAAGTCAGAAATATTTTTTATAATGATAGTAAGATACTTGCACTGATGGTATAGAGGCAGCAAAGGGTAAAACTGCTGGTGTCTTGGCATAATGAAGGCAGTGGCACCAAACTGTACTAGAAGTCATTTTGTTCATTACAATGTACCCATAGTAAAAAAAAAAAAAAAGAAAGAAAAAGCCAGTATTACATAAGAGTGTCCTTGTTGAAGCAGCAAAAGTATTAATTTTTATTAAATCATGATCTCTTTTTTAATAATCTGTAAAGAAATGGGAAATACCCATAAAGCACTTCTACTTTACACTGAAGTAAGATAGTTTTCCTCTAGGAAAAGCAATTCTAGGATTGAGTTGTAAGCCGAACTTGCTGCTTTTTTCCCATGGGGTATCATTTTTACTTGAAAGAACAACTAACAAACTATGCTTACTCAAATGTGGGTATTTGGCAGATATTTTCTTTAAAAAATGAACAAAATGAGCCTGTCTTGATTTCAGGCAAGCCATTGTATTTGTTGTCACATACAAAATTCAAGCTTTCAAGTGAAAATTAGATTTTAGAAAACTTTTATGTGCCATCATGAGCTCGATGGCTGCTTGATACTTAACAGCTTTGCTGATGAGATTTTATGGTGAGATTAATGATGTGATTGTTCTATATTGTTTAATAAATGGTGTCAAGTATAAAAAGATCTGTATAATTTGGCGAGCCAGTATCTTCTGAATGAGTGTGATGCATGGAATAAAATGTCCATTCAAAGTGCAAAATATACTACTGGATTTTAATGTAACAAATTACAAAAAAATTCATTGACATGACTTCAGATTCCATATTGCAACTAACCTGTAAGAAGCTCTGTGTCACAATGTGGTGTATTAAAGAAGAAAAGATATTAAAATAGTCCTCCCTTTCCAAAGATATCTGACTAAGGCCAGATTTTATTCATAAACTTTAACCAAAAAAAAATTTTGCAATAGGTTGAATACAGAAGCAGATATGAAAATCCATCTATCTTTTATTAAGCTAGACATTTAAAAGAATAAAAAATGTAAAACATTGCCTCTCATTGTAGTAATCTTTTTTGTTTGAGAAAATAAGATTCTTTTTCATGAAAATAGGTTTATATTAATCTATAATGGATTTACTATTTTTAAATATATAAATAAAATTCAAGAATTTCTTGATTTTAATTTCTAATACACTAAATATTGGTAAATATAACCTACATAATTGAAAATCTTTGGGGTCCAAGTATAAGGGGATCCTGAGATCAGAAAGTTTGAGAACCACTGTTTTGGATGGTTAAATACATTATATAAGGTTCTGCTTCCCTCTGGGAAAACATTTAAATTAGAGCATTACCACGTATCCAGACTCTGTTTTAGAGATAAAAATGATTTGTAGAAGAACTCAGATTCTAGAGCACACAATTAGTGAGTTTATATGAGCAAGCACTAATTTAAGAATACCACTTAGGTGGTATACTTCAATGTCGCCACCTGGAGGTCTTCTCTAACACGAGTAACAACGATAGGTAATGTTTGTGTGCTTACCAATGTGCTAGCTGCTCTTCTAAGGGCTTTACTCATTTAACTCCCATCACAGCCCTATGAGGCACTGTTATTATAAATTTTCCCCACTAAAGAGCAGGAAACTGAGGCACAAATAGATTAATCAACTTGACTAATATGGTACTCACTCCATCTTCTGTTACTTCTAGGAAATAAATGATACTATTTTTAGCAATCTTGTTTTTTAAATAGACTTCTGTCCACTAGCTAATATAGATTCAAATACAACCCAAAAGGACTTTAAAATGATCAGCTTTTCAGCTGGGGACTGCCTATATTTCTTTTATTTCAGGAGAATAATCATCCTCTTAATGTCTTAATTTCATTATCTTAGCTCAGTCTCATGCTAGAAAACTGAGAGTTAAACATCAATAGTAAGTACTGAATGAATATTTCTTTTTCTTTGTAATTCCTTGAATAAACAAAAAGAGGAAGGTGCAAGCTAAGGTGGCCAAATAATCCACTCTTGAGCTTCCTTGGCTGATCTAGGTAAATAGATCAAGATTTTTTTTTTTAACTGGAATATTTCACATTTGTATAACAATAGTCTTATAAAATGAGTGTGAGATTAAATGAGGGGCTATGAGAGAAAATGTGCATATCATATGTTTGACTAAAACAACTGAAGAAAATACAGATTTAATGTATACACACACATAAAGTTTCCTTATCTAAAATAATTCAATATTTACCTGGTGGAGTGAATTAAAAAAAATAAAATAATTCAGTTCCCCTGCTTATCTTAATATTGGCGTGACAAAAATCATCAGATAACTATGAGTTCTGTCAAGACCCATTTGTGTAATGAGTAGATAAAAAGGGCAAGTTGTCATTCATCTTTTTGATATAGCTACAACTTCTGGGAAATTATAAAAATAAATCTTTAAAAAAATATATTACATATGTTATAAAAACACAGCCAGCTATTACTGTGATGTAAACACATCAAAATATTGTTATCAGATAAGAATGCTCTATAGGGGAGATAATAAGATTGAACATTCTTTTTAAAAATGTTCAGTGTACATAAAATTTATCCGAGGATTAAACTGAAGAAAGACTAAAAATATGAACCTCATTTGTAGGTATGTAGTTGACCTTTTGCAAACTGAACAATTTGCACTTGATAGTTTCTATGTGTGTGAATGATTAATTTTAGTCACCTGCTTTCTCAAAGGTTCTGGTAAGTGTTAGAAGATAAGGGGCACCCATGTCTTCAGGCACAAGAGGTATTATAAATACAGAGTTTTCATATAGAGAATAATTTTTTGTTTTATCACGGGGATACCACATATATGTGTGGCTATATCTAAAGATCCAAAGATCTTTATTTTTGACAAGTCAGTCTTTTCCTGCAGCAAGTTAACTAATGTTCATTTTGAAATTTTGAACAGGGTATATGAACATCATGAGACATTCTCCCCCCCAGAGGAAAAAGCTTGTGACAAAACTTGTGACTAGATTTTTTAAAACTTAATAAGGACAGATCAATTTTTAATATCAAGTTCCACTAAAATTCATTTTTGGAAGTACCTAGACAATAACTAAAAATAACTCATTTCACAGTTTATGAGACCAATAGACCTGTACCTGTTTTTTAAAAAAAAATCTAAAAGGCAAAATTAAGATTTAATTTATTGTGAAAATTGCTATTTCTTAAGGATTATTTTCATACATAGTTATCTTTTTACTTGATTTAGCAAAACAAATGTGGGTTTATATACTTTTAAATATATTTATGTATACATATGGAAATACATACACACACACACACACACACACATATATATATATACACATACACACATTTACACAGGCTAATTTCTTCCTAGGGAAAAATGGATTTTTAATACATGTTTTTGAAATAAAATTTAGGCCAAAGCCCTTAAACTGACACTGGTTTAATAATATTTGGTTAATGCTGATGCTTCTGGATGAAAATTCAGGCCAATTAAAATCTGCGCATTTATGTGCGATCTGTAGTATCTAGGGAACCACTCCAAAATTACAGCAACATGGGAAAAAGAATAAGATGAGTGAGTGTATTCTTTTTGTCACAGAACGGCTAAAGAAAAATCTCTTGATGATCTGGTTGGATCTAAGGTATGTCTACAAAAAGTGTAAGGCAGAGAATACAGAGTACCTGTAGATCTAGTCATGGTACGGGCATGGGGTTACAGATAAACAGTCTTTCTGTGTGCTGTGGACAACATTCACAATCACAAACCATGCATGCATAAGAAAAATCTATATTAAGAAAAATAGGTTGAGCAATGTAAAGAAAATTATTCTAGAAGATAAAAGGATTCTAATAAATGGAAATTTATTTCCAGATGGAAGACAGGATGTTATACATTTGCTGTCTCTACCAGATTAGCTAACTAGTTTAAGGTCATTCTAATAAAAATGCCAGTGAATAGGAGATAGAGAAATCTTGACAGAATGTTCTAGAGTTTTCCTGGAAGAATTAATAGGCACAGTGCTCTGCATACTCAAATATTTGTCAGTCAGGGAAGGCATGCAGTTATTAAGTAGCAAAGCTGGTATTTGACCTTGAGTTGGTTGGGCTTCCTAATATGTTGCTTACACAGACTGTAATTAATTTCAGACACTCCCAGAATACTTATTCTTTCCAAACTGATTATTTTTACCCAAACCTTTCTGTCTTCATTTCAGGGAAGTATGGCCACAGCTGCCTTACCGGAGAGTGGGTCTTCCCTTGCCTTGCGAGCTCTGGGCTGGGGCTCGCTTTACGCATGGTGTGGGGTTGGTGTGATCAGCTTTGCAGTCTGGAAAGCTTTAGGAGTTCACAGTGTAAGTAACTATAATCCTTTAATTGCTATCTGGATTTTTGTTCTACTTTCTGCACTGTAGTCTAAATTTTCCTGGTTTTCAAATTTATATGTAGTGTGGTCACTGCCTTAGGAAGTGATGACAGAGTATGTCACTAAATTCTTGCTAATAACTAGGCAACTTCTCATTACTACTAAATTATAAATAATTAATTTATTAGGTTATTAAGTATGAAATATCCAGTTTCCTTAAGTACTAAGTTTGACATTTGATATCTCTGACATTTCACTTTGAAACTTCGTGTTTTATTTTTATTGTGAAGGTATATCCACATTCTTTCAAATGAATGGTTTGGCTTGTGATTATCTTTCAAAGTTTTTTTAAGGGCAATTTTTGTAAAACCATGGATAAGTCAAAAATGTGTGTTATTTTCAAATATGAGTTCCATTGTAGAACCAAGGCAGTGCAGACAGCTTGAAATATCAATGAAGTGTTTGGGGAGGATGTGGCTAATGAACACACAGTACATCCATCAATGGTTTCAGAAGTTCTGTTCTGGTGATATTCATCTTGAAAATGAGCCACACAGGTGACCTGAGACCAAGGTGGATAATTATGAGCTGAAAGCTGTAGTGAAAGCGAATATATCTCAACCTACAAGTGAATTGGTGGCAAGGTTTGACATTAGTATTCCAATAATATTGGGTCATTTGAAACAAATGGGCAAGGTAAAGAAACTAGATAGATGGGCACCATGTGAATTAAATTAAGCAAGCATCAGAAGAGAAATCGTCTCAAAGTTTCCCTTTCTTTGCTGTCACAATATAAAGGTGAACCATTTCTACATTGTATTATTATGTATGCTGAAAAATGGGTTCTTTTTGATAATCACAAGCATTTGGCACAATGGTAGGTTAAAGGTGAAGTGCCAAAACACAGTCCAAAACCGAATATTCATCAAAAAAACCTAATGGTGTCTGTCTGGTGGTCCAGCACTGGTACTATCCACTATAGCTTCATGAAACCTGGTCAGTCGATTACAGCAGATGTCTACTGCAACCAGTTGGGTGAAATGATGAGAATGCTTGCAATTAAGCAGTCGAGATTAGTCAGTAGAGACGGGCCAATCCTCTTGCAAGGCAGCGCCCGACCACATGTTGCACAAACAATGCTGTTCAAACTACAGAGTCTGTACTTGGAAACTCTGTCGTCCACTGTAATCAACAGACCTTGCACCAACTGACTACCACTTCTTCCAGGCTTAGGACAACTTGCAAGGAAAAATATTCAATTCTCAACAAGCTGTGTAAAAGGCCTTTCGTGATTTCATCGCCACTCTCTCTAGGTTTCTTTGCTGCTGGCATAAACAAGCTACCACTAAGATGGCAAAATTATGTTGATAGTTTAGGTACATACTTTGATTGATTGTACTGCTGCTTGTTTGAGATACAATAAACTAAACTTTTGATTTGAAATTGGACATTTTATATTTAATGGCCTAATAAATTTTTGAAGGTAGTGAAACTTCAAATATAATTAAGCAATGACTAATTCATAGCTAATGTTCATTCTATATAAATTGATGTTAGCTATTTGTTCTATAAAATTATTAATGTGCAACAACTTTCTATGCTGTTTGGCATCTGTGTATATATATATATAAACATCCTTGTAAAATAGTTAAAGCATTTTAAAATTAACTATTTAAATTATTAATGTGTTATTTACACATTATTGGAAAAAAATCCTAAAAGCCTATGTATGTGTGTGTATATGTGTATATATGTGTATATATCTGCGTGTGTGTGTGTGTGTGTGTATGTATATACAATTTATACCCCAGGCTAAAAAGGTATACATTAAGAATGATTGCATTCCTATTTTTTTTTCTTTTTTTTTTTTTTGTTTTTTACTAGAAAGATTGGGTGAGAAGCATTCCTATTTTTAAACAACTGGTAGGAAGTTCTGTTGACCAGGCTCTTTGTGACAGGTGAGAATTGATAGTAGCTTGGAATAGGTGGCAACAGTGGAGTTGATGAAAAGAGATTCTGGATATTTTCCAAGGTAGAGTCACCAAGGATTTGTTATAGATTGGATGTGGAGTATGTGGAAAAGTGAAGTCAAGGATGTCACCAAGACTTTTGGCATGAGCAGCTGGAGAATGGATGGGGACCAGAGTGAGAGGAGCAGCACTGGGGATAATGTCAGGAGCTCAGTCTGGGACATGTGATTCTGAGACATCCGTTAGAGTCAAGTAAGCATTAGATATCGAAGTTCAGAGTTCTGGGGAGGGATACAAAGTGAAGATAAATATTTGAAACTCATCAATTTATGGGTAGTATTTAAAGCCAGGAGACCAGATTAGCTCATGAAGCCAATGAACGTAGAAAAGAGAAGATGTGCACCATCTGGGGTCATGCTGGAGACTCAGACTTGTGTGGGGAAGGGGGGAAAGGGCATTTATTGAAACCTTAAAATCTGTACCCCCATAATATGCCGAAATAAAATAAATAAATGAAAGAAAGAAAGAAAAGAGGAGAGCTCTGAGGAAAGAGCCCTTGGCTACTCTTAAGGTTTAGAGGTTGGGGAATGAAAAGAAAGTAGCAAAGGAGATTTTTCTACTAAAGAGATGGAGAAAACCAGAATGGTGACTTGGAACACCAGGTAAAGAAAACATTTCAAGGAGAAGTGATTGACTGTGTTGTGTGCTGGTGGTTGTCACATAAGTTGAGGACTGATAATTCACTGAGTTCAGCAATGTGGCAATCTTTGGTGAAATGGGTAAGTGAGCCTGAGTGGAGTGGATTCAAAAGAAAACGGGGAAATCGCAGGCAGTATGTCTAGGCACATCTTGAGTTTTGCTATAAAGTGAAAGAAGGAAATGGGGTCATAGCTGGAAGGAAGAGTGGGGTCAAGAGAGAGGTTTTTTGTTTTCATTTTTTTAAGTAGGGAGAATTAACAGCATGTGTATGCTGATGGGAGTAATTCAGTAAAGAGGGAGAAACTGAGGCGAGTGGGGGAATTGCTGGAACAACCCTCATGATCATTTTTGAGTTTTTCACATTTAGTTTAATCATAATTAAACATAGGCATTATTGTACTTTTCACTCACAGTACACCGATAGACAAATGAGTGTGCTTTTCTTCTAGTCTAACTAACCTTTATTTTTAAAGTAACTTTGCTGGCTAGTCATTGTTTGTGATGCTAAGTTAGGGATTATGAGGAAAAGACAGAAAACTATACTGAAGATTTTTCATGATTTTTGCTGTTACCTCAGTTTTGTTTTTGACCAATATAAAATCTCTTCTTCCATTTCAGGCATTGTACCAGACATTTTAGACAAAGCAGATTAATCTTAATAACAACATAGCAGATATTAATATCTCCCATTTTATAACTGGGGATATGGAGCCTCAACAAGGTTAAGTCACTTGCCCAAGATCACATAGCTTGTAACTGGCAGAGTTAAAATTTGAATCCAGGTCTGAGTCTTCAGATTACTAAGCAATACTTTGTAATAAAGTTATTAAGCTTCTAGTTTGTATAAAAATAACAGTCTGTTAGCACTCTACATGGACTGCATGGAATTGGAATTGATAGGTAATGTTTCAATGTTACTAGTGCTTAGTAATGTAAGTCATAAACTGAGTAGTAAAATTTTAAGGTGTTTGAAAATATGAATAGCCCTTGATTTAGAAGAGTCATAAGAATGAATCAATCCAAATTTTCATAGACTAACAAAAATTAGGTTATCTAAATTATATGCTTGAGAATTTGGGCTTTATGGATGAGACTGCTATTTTCATTCCTAGAACATGAACTTCTTTATTTTATGGTACTAATAAGAAGATTATTGCCTAAATAAAATATTTTGGGAATATAAAAATATTTTCTGATTGGCACTACTAAACATAAGAATATGTGGAATCTGGCTGGGTGTGGTGGTTCACGCCTGTAATCCTAGCACTTTGGGAGGCTGAGGCAGGAGGATCATTTGAGGCCAAGTGTTTGAGACCAACCTAAGCAACATAGCGAGACCCCATCTTCTACAAACAATACAGAAATTAGCCAGGTGGCCTATAGTCCCAGATTCTTGGGAGGCTGAGGCAGGAAGATCACTTGAGCCCAGGAGTTTGAGGTTGCAGTAAGCTATGATGACGCCAACTGCATTCCAGCTCAGACAACAGAGTGAGACTGTGTCTCAAAAAAAAAAAAAAAAAAAAAAGGTAGAATCCTTTTGTATTGCATCTTTGTGTCTAACTAAAAAGAGAGAATGCAAATGTATTCTTTCCCTATACGCAGATCTTAAAGCATATCAGTTTGATCTCCATGTCTGAGAAGTCTCACACAAAAATGAACCCACTGATAACCTTTTCAAGGTGACAAATTCTGAAGGTAGTAGCATTTATTAATTTATTAGTTTGTTCATTCAAAAGTCCTTGTGTACCTACTCTGAGCTAGGCAGTGTGCTAAGACAGGCCCCCCACAGCCCTGGCCTGTAGACTGTTAAGTCTTACCTGTTGACTTTCCAAGTAAATTCTTATGACATGACCCTGCTCTGAAGCTTGCAGAGAGAAATATGGTATATTTCAGCTCTGCATTTAGAAAGCTTTGATGATTATTACGAGGTTGCCCTGAGTCCAGTGATGAACTTTTATCACTAAATACTGCCTCTTATTGAGAAACATCACTTTTATGAATAAGGAAAACAGTCTTAGTCAGAAAATGTTGAACAGAAATGGTCCGAGTCTATGCACTGAAATGGTTGATGATCATTCTAGATACATTTAGATAAATCAGAATCAACTCAAGTCAAATAATTGTTGGTAGCTACCTTGAGTGGTATTAAATCTCTAAATAAACCTAGTTCCAAAAAAAGAGTGCCATCTATTGGCTGACCTAGAGCAGCTTGATGAAAGTGCTTGTATTTCCTATGTTAATTCACAGCTACATCTGCTGGCCTAAAAGAGAACATGTTAAAAATGCTTAAAGCAAAACTCTTCAGTTTCTTTAAAATATT